GGTTTGGTTGCCTCTTGCATGTTTCATACACTTGTAGTACAATCCTCTTAGCTAGCCTAAAATGCTTCATGCTTTAGACCATCATTCTAGTATGTTTTGGCTCCACTCCAGAAAGCTCTTACTCATATTTTAACATGCTTAAGCTCTATTTTAAATGGTCTTGGCCATATGGGGCTTGTTGTGCATGGTTGTAGTGTAAAGGCCTTTGACTAGCTTTGAGTTTCAAAGTCTCTAGCACGCTTTACTTGAGTGTTTGCATGCTTTCGCCTCTTTTCTCACATGCTTTCAGTGTATGAAGTGTGGTCATACTCTCTCATGCTTCACTCTTTCAATGCTTTTGAAGAGTTATGCTTTATGCCTTGATCATGGCCTAACTTGTATGCATGCGTGCCTAAGCTTTTGGGCTATCATCTCAGCATATTTTTAGTCTTATTTTACCATGTTATAACTCCGATTTCTGTTGGTGGAGTCGCCTCTGGCTTGGTTTTGGTATGTGTAGTGTAATCCTACTCTTTGGCCTTGCATGCTTAGCGTTTTGGCTTACCATTCTAGCTTGTTTTGGCTACACTTCATCATGTTTCTATCATTGTTTTGGCATGCCTTAGGACTGTTTTGAATGATCTTGGTCCATCAGGGCTTGCTTGATCTGGCTATGGTGCAAGTGCCTTAGCTAGTCTTAAGTTTTGAGCCCTCTGGCACGCCTTATTTGTGATGTTTAAATGATTTGGCATCATTTAACACTTGATTTCAGAGCATATAGCATTGCCATATTCTCATGCATATCACTCTTTGATTATGTTTGAGAGTCGTGTTTAATGCCTAGCTTGCGAGCCAATGTATGGGCATGTTGTTGTAGCTTTTGGTGCTTCATTTCCAGTATGATTTTGCCACTGTTTAGGCATAATGTAAGTCTGTCCATGGCTGGTTTGACCATTCTAGATTGATAGTGCATGCCTCTTGCCTCTTGTGTAATGTCCTTCACTTGCTTTAGTGCTCTTGGCTCCATAACATGTTTTGCATGCATTACTTCCATGATAGAGTCTTGTGCATGCCACATTAGCATTGGTAGATGAGCATGTTGTATTTTGCATTGCATCGTGTTCAACCCGACGTTATGTTGAACACAATGTGGATTGGTTCATTTCGTACTTGGAGTGATGAAATGAGCCAATCTCCCTTGGTCTCCATTGCCTTTGACTCTCATGATAAGGAGATGGTCTGAGTGTCTTGTTTGCATTGCGTTTATTGAGTTTGTACAAATTGGATCTTTGGCCATCATGCATTGCGATACTTGATTGATGGTTTTGGATCCAATTATGCATCTCCCTTGATGTTTTGAGGTGATATGGAGGAGGATAGTACATACATGTTCTTGGAAGACCCTCCATTTCTTCTATTTTGTGCTCTGTTGTAACTTGGTGTCATAGCACACTAGTGGTCGGCACCCCCTCATTGGTGGCCGGCACCCTTTCATCCGTGACCGGCATTGCACATCATTGGTCGGCAGGGGGGTCGGCAGAAGCTTCTTATGGCCGGCAGGCCACTGGTGCACTCCCCAGCTTTGGTTTGGTAAGTTTCAGCAGTAAGCTCTTAAGGACACCCTGCAGACAGAGCCTCTAAAGAGTATTTGGAGAGCTTTTCGGGACGGAAGCCGAGGCATGCATACGCTAATTTCCAGCAGAGTTGAAGCAGCATTGTTTAATGCATTTTCATGTCTAGTTAGCATTTACGTTTGTAATTCAATTAGCTAATTTGTTAATTAGTTAAGTGATGTAATAATTAGTAAGTAGATTTCTTATTATTCAATTTGGTTTGTAATAATTAGTTTAATTAGCGTAGCTAGTTAGCTAATTCATTCGGACCCTCTTTCGTGAGGGCATAATGTTGTAATAAGAGTGTGTGTGTGTGTGCATGTCTTCCAACCCCACTTCTTTCTCCCTTTTACTTAACCGCTTTCGATGGTTAGTCTTAGGACATGTTTCAATTAGCATCCTTATGCTCCCATGTTTGCATCCATTCATTTGTCTTGCATGCACTGGGCTCGACGCATCATTCAAACTGCATTGTATTTCAATACCTATTTGAATACATATATCAAATTGTTGAATTCATATGCCATCTTAGATAGCCAGGCCTATTAGTTGCATTTTTGCATGTGTTGCATTAGACATCCTGTATAGATAGAATCATGCATGATTTCTAACTAGCTTTTGTTTTGGCTTGGAGTACACTGTAAGTGTTCATCCTTTAGCATCATTGCATGAGTGTGAGTGTTGCCATGATAGCATACTTACCATGAGGCTATTTGCTTAATTGCTATAACTGCATGAATGCCTGTGGATGAAGGCTTCATTACTTGAATTGGAACAATTCATCAAAATGTGAGTTTTAAGCCCACTTAGAATGGCAAATCATCATGTTTTAAGCCCATCTTGTTTGGTGGCAAATCCGCATTTCTAAGCCCACTTGAGGGTGACAGATTCAAACCATTTTCGAAAATGAACATTGAGATTGTTTTGTTCCAATTCTCGTGATTGAGTATATACTTGTATGTTGTGCGCATCACATAGTATGTTAGCTAATAATCGGAATAAGAACACATGTGTTTATGAAACAACATATCATGTTAGTAGAGGCCAATCCTTTGATCGGGCGAGCGGGGGTGCTCATTTCATGACCTTTCCATCTCGTACCCAAGTTCCCAAGCCAAGGCAACTTTGGTGATGACAGACACGTGGCATTTGGCACGAGTCAGGGTTTCCTAAATTTCCCAAAAATAAAATATTTAGGTTGCGACTCTGTAATCTGGCAAAGCAGTCCAGTTTGGCATAATTTGAATTAAAATCTGATTTTTCAAAATGATTTGCCGGATTAGACTCTTTGGTGATCTATCAGTCTTACATCGCACTTTGTGAGATTAGATTCAGAACCGTGACAGGAGTCCGAACTGTAGTAGCTATGGAACCAAATCCGCGCCCTCTCCGAAAGGGGGGGCTCACAGAGGAAGTTCGGGCGGTCTACAGATAGCTGTGATTGTTATAGAAATTGCATAAGGATTAGGCGATTTAATGCTAATTAAATGTTGGTTGTCATTGCATATGACTATGTTTATATATACATTGTATATGTATGTTTATTTGGAAGGAGAAAGTGGATGGACTCCGCTGAAAACAAGTTGGCCGGAGTGTCTTGGGTGAAAGACCCGAAATCATATATATATATATGGGTGCTGATTCCCGCGGACGAAATATCCGTAAAATGGCATATTTGAGAAAATATACATGGGTGCCGATTTCCGCAGACGAAATATCCGTAAAATGCCAGATAGAAGTGTTTATGTGTGTTTTGTATGATTGGGAAAAAACCATTGAGTTGTAGTCTCAGTTTGGTTATGTATAGATAATGAATTTGACTCATAAATTGAGAAGTATAGATAAACTGGAATTGAATTGAATGAAAATGGATTAAGGTGTGGACAACTTAGCATGATATGAACATGCAAGTTTGTGGATGTTTTGGTACTGGCATTGTTTATGCATATGGTACTTGTACCTTTGCTAAATCTCATATATTGTGTTTGATTATTTCTACTGGGATGTGGCTCACCCTATATGGGAATACCATTTTCAGGTGCAGATGATATGCTTCCACCAAGGCAATAGCGTGGGGGAACTTTTGGAAAGCAAGAGCTTCTTGATTATGTTTTGTTATTTGTATGATTATTATTTGTAAAGCCAAGGGCTTAAGATGTAATGAGCGAGACTCACTTTGTACAACCAAGCAATGACTTGGGAAGATGTAAGCGTACATGGTATTTAACTGGTTGTTAAACTGTAAACTCTGATGAATGAAAGTATTGTATTCCTGTTATATTCTTCCGCATGATAGATAGGTTTATTGTATTAGTTTAGGGGCGTTACATTGGTTGTTTATGCTATTGGTTTTATTGTTTTTTCTCTAGTTGTTGGTTTCTCACAAACTGGAGCTACGAGCTTATGGTAGCTCCGAGGTTCTCTTTATTGATATAATTTATCATACTTTGTATGTCTTAATCAATAAAGATTCATTTTGCCGATAAAAAAAAAAAAAAAAAATACCACCAGCTACCTCCCACCATGTAGTAATTAGCACCTCTAGTCATCATCTCCAATCGTCAACAATCTATTTTCACTAGCCAATGTTTTTTATTCGTTTTCAAAACACAATTTAAAAACATATGTCTATTAAACATGTTTTTATTTTATTTTTACCAAAAATAAATATAAATACATAATATTTTACATAAAAAAATTACAAAACCAAACCTAACAAATATAAAATCAAACGGGAAGCACAGTACTTAAATGACTTGTTTAATTAACAAAATTAATAGTGAGGAGATTAATAATTCATGTAATTAGTGTATAATTGATTATCAGGAAAATTAGTGAAATATCCCTCTCTAAGTTTGTGCAGTGGGAGAGATGGAAGATATTTTTTTTATTAGCTAAGGTCTCTCAACATTTTTACAGAGAAAATTCAACTTAGAGAAATTTTACCTGACTCAGAGAAATTTCGACACCGACTTAGAGAAATTTCAAAATTTCTTTGAGTCGGGGCGAAATTTCTCTGAGTCAAATTTTGTCTATAGAAATGTTGAGAGACCTTAACTAATATGAAAATATTATATATCATTTATCTTATAAAATCTTAATATCAGAGACCTTAAAAAAAAATTCCCTTGATTATCCAACTTGATTAGTGGAATAAATAATTTCTTATTTTTAACATTTATTTTTTAATAAAATATAAAAATATAGAATTTCAATTATATGTTTATTTTGTATTATTAGTTGTATCATTAAAAAATATGCTAATTTTGTTAGAATCAGTATCGATTAAAATCTAATCAACATAACAAAAATTATAACTAAACACTAACATTATAGTGTTAGTGTTTAATCCTATAATTCACCCAACAAATCCTGGCCAAAGGGACAACAATTGGAAAGAGTACTAACCAGCAACAAATGCTGGATATGAGTTCGATCGATAGAGTCACTCTGATCATCTCCACTGATATTGAGAAGAGCATCCAACACATCATTGCTTGACAGACAACCCTGTGTTTTTTTCAACTCCAATCGTTGATCAATCAAACGATCAAAGACTACAATAAGCCTTCCAAAGTCAGAAGTGGTTTGGCGCCTAATACCTTGTGGATCAATCTTCTTCAACACAGGGAAGTAATCTGACAAGTTGGGCGTGCCAATGTGCTCCATGGAACTCCACACTGCCTCCTTCAGCTCCCTTACAGTGTCCTTGTTCCGATCATCCAACAATTCCATGGAAAAAATTGTATTCGACAGCAAATTAAACGTTGTTCTAAATGCTGCTTTGCAAATATCCACTGCCACACCTAGCTCGCAGCTTTCTCGAACCTCGGCGATCAGTCCTTGCACCACTTGATGTCGTAGGTGTTGGTTTGCGTCGAGTTTTGGAGCGGCGAAAACGTGGGAATTGCAGATTTTGCGGAGTTTTCGCCATTGAGTTGAAATAGGCATCCAAGCGACGGAGAACTGGTCGTGGTTTTGGGCTTGGATGTTGTCCGGGATGGATCGGTTGGAGAAAGCGAGGTCTTGCTTTTGGAGGATTTGTTTAGCCATGGTTGGTGAAGAAATGACAACTGTGTTTACTTGGCCTAGTTTTATGGTCATGATAGGACCATAGATTTTGGCAAGCTCGGCTAGGGACTTGTGAGGCTTGTCACCTAGTTTGAGAAAGTTTCCGATGAGTGGCAGAGGTGTCGGTCCCGGCGGAAGCTTGCCGGGACTGTTTTTGCTTGATTTTGTAAGTGATATTAGGGCCTGAACCAAAGTGCAGGTGATCAGAACACAAAGTAGAAGACTCAACAAGTCCATCTATGTTTCTCTCAATTGTGTTACAATACATGCGTAAAAGAAGCAATCAGATTTGCTTGCTTTTGTGGAAAGTTTGTAAAGTCTGATTTATCGATTTGGAGAGAGATTTAAAAAATTAAAGAAAAATGATATGTGAAAAATGTGTAAAATATAGTTATATTTCATTTATATTTATCTATATTTTTTTCTTTTTATTTTAATATCCCTATTCAAATTCATGAATTAAACATAGTCTTAAGAAATTTTGAAGAAAGAAAATAGGATATTGCAAATAAATGGGACAACCATAAAATAATTGCACAAAAATATTTGTTTGTACAATTTTGACACATAAAGAGTTGCACTAAGCACAGGAATAATAAATTTGTAACATCTACACATGAGAGTTGCACCATCATTAAAAATGTTAATTTTTTTTTGTCACTACTCCAATGAAATACAATTTTTCTAAAGACATAATAAAAATTAATTTGGTGAAATAAATAAATGTCTAAAAAATTTATCAATTTTACATAATTTTATCTTTGGTGAGTAGAAATAATTTTTAAAAATTTAAAAATATTTTTTTGACATTTATTTTTGTCAAATTAGTTTATATTTTATCAAATTAATGATTTTGTCCTTGAAATTAAGCAATGGTATCTTCAATTATTCTTATTTGGAACAAGATTCAAAATTCATGGTTAAATATGTCATGATTGAAAACTCAATGATCAAAATAACACAAGTCCCAAACTATAATGACTATTAGTGTAATTCGTCATTTTTAAAATTATTTTGAAAATATATTTTATACTTATATAGGGCTGAACATAAAAACCAGAAAAATTGCAAATCGGTTTAATCCATATCTAACAACATGACTTGATTTGATTTTTTCAATCTATGATTCGGTCTTGACTCTTAAAATAGGTGAACCGTATTTCACGGTTCAATCCGTAATTTTATAGTTATACTTTCAGTTTACAATCAAACCGGACCGTTTAAATATATATATATATATATATAATTTGTTATTTAAGGTGGACACTCGATTATCTTATTAGTATTTCATATATTGTTTGCAAGTGTGCTTTTGAATAATAATAGAATTAGTTCTAAATAATGATTTAAACTATTTTGTTTGTAAATTTACTTGATTTTTGAGCACGTAGTGATTATGTTGTAAATTATGACAAACTTCATGAAAACTGTGATTCCAAACTGAATTGAATCATGTTTTTATGATTAGGTTTGGTTTAATTTTAAGATTTTTATGATTCGATTGGGTTCTAAATTTTATGGAACTATAGGTAGTGGTTGGTCTTGGTTTACTTCAAAACCGAACCGAACCAAGCCATACTCACTCCTAATACTGCAGATGGATTTAAAGTTTGTGAGATGTGTGTTTATAAATGGGATTGGGTTGCCTCGACATTCTAGTCTGGCACAATGGGATCGACACAGATTTTGGTTCATGCTTTAGATTTCAATGTGTATATCATCAGTGAAAAATTTGTTTAAAATATATATATATATATATATCATCAATGAAAATGGATTAAATTCATTTTACCCTCTCATAGATTGGGCTTGGAGCATTTTACCTGCTATGATTCAAATATAGCTAGAAAGTCCCTATATAATTTTTTACTAAAATACCACTGTTAGTTTTTTTTATTCAAACTAATAGAAAGTGTACCACACACTACTTTTTAGGATGAGTTTGGTTTTTTGAAAAAAAAAATGAAATTAATACAACAAAAAAATAATTTTACTGTCATTTTCTCCAAAACTAAAATTAATTAAAAATATAGTTAAGGATTTAAAACATAAATATGATTAAATATGGATTTAAAATAGGGATATTTACCAATAAATCTCATCTTACAAACAAGTACTCCAATTAGTCCTAAGTTTTTTCATATTGATATGTTAAATTCTATTTGTGGAGAGTTTCTTTCTGTGTGATCCTATTTTTTATTGTGGTAGTGTTTTGGTGGACAATTATACTCATTTATTAATGTGACATGTATGTGATACTCCAATGTGGTAGGTATTAATGTGACACTCCAAAAAAATTAAAAATCCTTTACTATACTTTTCCTAATGCGATAATATGACGGGTATGATGTGACACTCCAAAACTTTTATTCTAAAAAAAATAAAAACTCTTTAGTGTACTTTTTTCAAATGTGACAACGTGATGGATATGAGTGATAGTTCAAAAAAAATAAAAATTTCTTAGTTTATTTTTTCAAATGTGACAACTTGACGAATATGATGTGACACTTTAAAGAAAATTAAAAATTTCTTAGTATACTTTTCTCAAACGTGATACATGACACTTTAATGTGACAGGTATGATGTGACACTCCATAATTTTTACTCTAAAAAAAAATAAAAACTTCTTAGTATACTTTTTTCAAATGTGACAACGTGACGGATATGATGTGACACTTCAAAAAATAAAAATTCTTTAGTGTACTTTTCTCAAACGTAATAACGTGACGGGTATGATGTGACACTCTAAAGAAAATTAAAAACTCATTAGTGTATTTTTCCCAAACGTGACATGTAACACTCTAACATAACGATTACGATGTGACACTCTAAAAAAATTAAAAATCTTTAGTGTACTTTTTTCAAATATGACACTCTAACGTAGCAGATATGATGATATGAGACTTATTGGTCAATCTCCCTTTAAAATATAGTTAAATAAAAATATAAAATAAATAGAAATTAAGAATTGATCTAAAACGTAAATAAATTAAATTAGATTAACATGTTATAAATTACAATAAATAATTAAGAATTTAAAATTAAGTACGAACTAAAATACAATTAAATTAAAATTAGTTTAAAAAGTTAAGAATTACAACAAATAATTAAATATTTAGAATTAATTGTGATCTAAAATATAATTAAATGAAAATTATAATAAAAAGATAAAAAATTACAATAAATAATTAAGAATTTATAACTAATTGTAATTTAATTGAATTAATGTTAAACAATATAAATTATGTGTATGAAGAGGAGAGAAAGAAAAGAAAAAAAATGTCATTTCATATCTATACTTAATGGTATTAACAGTTACATTTTGGTTTAAAACTACCTTGAAACTTTCTAACTATATTTGAATCATAGAGGAGCAAAGTGCTTTGTGCTCAAATTACAAAAGGATAAAATAAATTTTGCCCATGAAAAATGTCATATTAATCCGATAACTGTAATCACATGACTTTATTTTTTTTAATGTTCAAAAACAAGAATGGTCTAGTTTTATATTTATATCTATCATCTATTTTTTTAAAAATAAAAATAATAAAATAATGTGAATACATTTATCAGATCAATATAATTTTTATTTATTTATTTAGGAATAATCTACACACAAAATTGCAAAATATAAACAAACAAACAAAAAAATCTATATCGGGCCCATTAGACTGCTTAAGTGGACCGGAGACAGCCAAGTAATTTATAAATGTAGTTTTTTTGAGATTTTACTTATTAATTTTTGTGAATATAAAGAAACGTTACATGATTAACGGCCACCAGAATTATTGTTTCCGTAAAATAAAATAAAAAACTCTTGAATTATTATTATTATTATTAGATAGAAACTCTAGAATTAATAATACTTTTTAAAATTGAAAGTCAATTGGTTAGTCCAATAACAATAATAATTCATCCTCCTAATTTTGCTCTCCCGATTATACTCTTAACAATATGAAATTAGGGAAGCTAAAGATGAAAGGAAAAGGAGTGTGAGATCGCTTCACATAGGGGTGAGCCACGTCATTAGAGATACAATTGGAGGAATAAAATTAGAGAGATGTAGCACCACTCTTCCAACAAAGAACAAGTCAATTATTCCTGTGGGACAGAAGGAGTTATTTGGTGGTCCACAGTCATGTTGTGCCTCAAGTATATTGTAATTGGTGGAGAGAATATGATTCATAATTTTATGTTAGATGATTGGAGAATATGATAATTTGTAATTGATCAAACGTATGTAGATCACGAAATAATTTTTTTGAGGAACGGAGATTGATTTTCCTTTTATTTGCAAAATCGAAATATTATTAATATAGGTGATACGAGTAGATCCACACTTGACTATTATATCAATAACATGAGATGGAGATTAATAATAACATCAGATTAGATTATAGATGAAATTAATACTGCTTAATCTTTTAAGTTTTTTTAAATGAGTTTTTATTTTTTTATTTTTTTTAAATTTTTTTTTAAACTGCACTTTTAAATGAGCTTTTGTATTTGAAAATATAATTGTGTTTATCTATTCTCAAAATTTTCACACTCTTAAAAAGACATAGCATATTCATCTTACTGCATTAAACTTACAATGTCATGCATAACAGAAAAACAAATAAAATAAAATAAAATTAGGCAAAAATTTAGGCATGGCGGGGGGATTTTCATCCAAGGAATATAAAAAATGGTATATAAATTAATATAAGGGAAAATTATTTATAAGTCCTATTAGGGAAACTTATGCTACATATGGTCCTACTAAAAAACTTATATTCTCATAAGTCCTGTGGGAAGTTTGTTGACACGTTTACCCTCAATATTAGTTGTTAATATCATAAATAATAGTAAAACCATATATAGGAAATTGAATGTTACCATAGATCATATCTATATAAACGTAACGTAACGTGACACCTACATAAACGTAACGTGACACCTAAATAAACGTAACGTGACACTTATGATCTATGGTAAAATGCAATTTCTACATAGATCATATCATATCTATATAGATCATATCTATATAAATGTAACATAAACGTAACATAACATGACACCTACATAAACGTAACGTGACACCTGAAATTGAATGTTGCCATAGATCATATCTACATAAATGTAACGTAACGTGACACCTACATAAACGTAACGTGACACCTAGGAAATTGAATTTTACCATAGATCATATTTATATGAAACGTAACGTGACACCAACATAAACCAGCAATATTTTCACATTCAATTTAAAAAAATAAAAACTCATTAAGTTTGCGAAACGTAACGTGACACGTTACGTTACGTTTATGTAGGTGTCACGTTACGTTACGTTTATATAGATGTCACGTTACG